TGTGTTGTAATCCAGTTCTTTGACAATAACTGTATATTGATTCAACTTGTTAGCCAATCCGGCAACTGTGAAAAACCTTTAACAACAACAACAACAACAACAACAAATTTTATTGAAAATTGGAAAATAACTAATTACATTACTTTCCCACCCGCAAATAGCTTATAAACTAATCAAGGCAGGGAGAGCTGAAGACATATCACAAAACAAGATTTATATATAGATGGACTAAATAACAGTGAAGACACTACTATACAGTAAATAGAATTTAAACTAACATCCCGGGGGGGGGGGGGGGGGGTACTTTAGGAATTTCTGGGTGTGGATGTGCCGCTGGGACCCTGGAACCCTTAACCTATACCAGAGCTAGTTCAGCTGAATTTTGCTACCCTATACTAGAGTAAACTCCCCAAATCCCCCTATCCTAGAGTAGCTGTTTCCCTTGTCTAGATAAAATCTTCAACCAACTGATCAGTTTCCTGAAAAATGATACCCTATTCTAGACCCAAACGTTCTGATTTATATACCCTATCCTAGAGTAAACAGCTTCAAAACCATACCCTTCACAGCGGCACATACCTATAGAGCCCATATATGGCAGTACCGCCCCCCCTCCGTGACTAACATAAAACAAGGCAAGTACATAACGATTACTAAGAGAGGCTAACCTAAACTATTAAATAACTTAATCAGACAGGAGACTTCGACATAATCATCTTCTGACCGCAAGAAATTTAGTAATAATTCCTTTATTTTTTTACGAAAGGACGAACGTTTAAGTATTTTAATCGAATAAGGAATAGGGTTCCAAATTTGGGCACCGATTCTCGTGAAAAAGGCATACATTTTATCGGTTCTAGAGAACTTAACATAAAACGAGTCGCCTAGAGACAGATCTTGTTCTGTAGTTATGAATCTGACTTGTTTTAATGAACTGATTGAGTATACTAACTGGTACTGTTTGTCTGTTGATATCATACAATAAATAACTACAATCTCTGAAAAATAGGCTAGGTATAGGGGAAGGCAATTTGATTTGACAAAGAAGGGTACTGCGTGTTCCTTAGACTTACCGAAGTAAATGAGACGTAAGGCCCGTTTTTGTAGAGTTACGATCTTTCCTTGAAATGTCAAGGCACAGTTTCCCCAACCACAAATACCATAAGTCAAGTAAGGGACAATTAATGAGTTGTAAACTGAAAGTAACACACGGCGCGGGACATAATGTTGAATCTTAGCTATAATTTCTATTGACTTGCTGATTTTGTGACAGATAGATTCGATGTGGTATTTCCATGAAAGATTTGAATCAATCAGTAAGCCAAGATATTTAACATAATCTTTCATTTCAAGGTTTGCGTAGGTGTTAGTCATGGAGTCAAGAATTCTGATCCTAGGTATGAAGGGCATATTCTTTTGCCTGGGACGAAAGATTACAAAATTTGATTTTTTTATGTTCAAAGACAATTTGTTGGCCTTCAGCCATTCATTGACATTGCCAAGCTCGCGATTAACAAGTGTTTTGAGTCCCTTTAGGTTGTTATTTGCAAGTATTATACTAGTATCGTCAGCAAATAGATAAAAGGCAAATAACGAAGGGGACTTGTAAATATCATTGATGTACAGTAGGAATAAGAGTGGTCCGAGGACTGAGCCTTGTGGCATGCTGCACAAGGTCGTCTCAGCCTCAGACACAACATTATTACCTTCCATAGTTTGCTTTCGATCAGTCCGGTATGATCTGAACCAGGAGTTGATTACACCTCTAATACCATAATTTTCAAGTTTAGCTAACAAAATGTCATGGTTAACAGTATCAAAAGACTTCTTGAGATCGATGAAAACACTGCACGAAAATTTACCATTGTCCATATTTTGGAGAATTGTGTTAACAATATCAAGTATAGCATGCTGAGTACTGTGCTTACTGCGAAAACTGTATTGCTGATCATAGAGAATGTTGCAATCTTTGACAAACTTGGTAACTCTGGAGTACGTAAGTTTTTCAAAAATCCTGTTATAAATTGAGAGCAGAGAAATAGGTCCGTAGTGTTCGGGCAGAGTGTCATCTTCGTCCTTAAATATCGGGATAATCTTGGCGCACTTTAGTTTAGATGGAAAAATCCCTGAGCAAATAGATTGATTAAAAATCGTGGCTAGAGGTACGGATATGACCCTTTCTGCCAATTTCAGCAGCCTAACTGGAGATGAGTAGAGACCATGGGCCTTGTTGTCTTGCAAAATGGAAATTTCTTAATTGATATCTTCCGGAATAATAGGATCAAAGAAGAAAGTGCGATTAAGTGGCGGATCTTTAGAAGCCAGTTTGCTCCCAACAGTGGCGAAATATTTGTTAAGAATATCGCTTATTTCCTTCGGGTCACTAGTTGGAACCTCATTCGGGTTTGAGCGAATAGAGTTAGTTGAGTTGCGCTTGTTTTTCTTTTTACAGTTTCCAATTAGCTCGTTAATTCCTTTCCAAGTTTGATGCATATTACATATATTGAGATCAAAGAAACTTTGGTAGTAGTTCGCTTTACTTAATCTCGTAAGATAGATGATTTTATTTCTGTAAAATTTGTATTTGTCCCGGTCTGAGGTATAGAAGAGGTTATTCTTTACCCTGATTGATTTTCTTAAACCCGCAGTCAGCCATGATTTAGCGAGGAATTTTTGTTTACGATTGGATATACTTCTTAAAGGGGCGTGTTTGTTAATTGTCTTGTTGACGCATCTGTAAAACCTGGAGAACGATTGATTGGCATCGGTATGTTTGCAAATATTATTCCAATTAATATTCTGCAAGTCGTCAATGAAAGATTTTGCATTGAAAGTAGAATAGTCACGAACCTTAGTTTTGTTGTTTGGAAAGAATGGTTTACAGTGCGATGTTAATATGCACATCTGTATCGGACACGATATTGCTGCTCACTATATTATTCTCAGGATTATTTATGAAAATATTGTCAATTAAAGTTGCTGAATTACCATAGACTGTAGTCGGCTTATCAACCACTGGGAACATTGAAAAACTTTGCATTGTTTGCAGCAAGGTTTGTGTGTAACTACAAGTTTCATATTTTAACATAATTATCTATGTTGAAGTCTCCTATGAGATAAATATTTTGATTTTGACAGCATTGGCATTCAAGAAAATCTGTCAAGTATTGTAGAAACTCATTAGCGTTATTGTGTTGCCTATAAGTAACACCACATACAGATTTCTTATTGTTAGGCAGAGGAAGTTCAATCCATAGGGCTTGATAGCAAGAATTGGAGACTCGCTCAAGGACGCGGTATTTCCAATTTTGATCAATGAACAGGCCAACACCACCGGCAGATAAAGGTGTCGGGACCGATTCAAAACAGTATCCTGGTAATTCTGGTACAAAATTAAAACTACATTCACAATTGCATATACGAGTTTCTGTTACACCAATAATAGTAAAACAGAAATTCATTTCGCTTAAGACATGATGTTGAAATTCCTCAAAATTTTTCTTTAAGCTACGTATATTTGTATGTAAAAAGGAGATTTTTGATTGCAACTGTTTGCTGTCAATAAACTGCGCAAAGCTGTGTGGAGAATAATATTTTGAGCGTATTTTGTTTGAGGTGAGATTTATATCAGGATCAATATGTTTATCAAGAGAGTTTAGCTGCAATATGCTAAGGTCGTAGAGACTACTGAGAGAATCTAGCAATTTTCTAGAAGGTCGATTATCATCAATTAAACTATTAAACTGTGGGTGGGCAGAAGTCAGGACTTTAAAGTTATAACAAGGTAATTGCACGAGTAAGGTCTCATTTTCGATCGCGCACTGTTTCTTTGTTTTGTGAGAAGTCAAATAAATTATAAATTATGTGTGACACAATCAAATTCACAATTTTGACATTTTATGTTATTGTCTTTATCGAATCAAAGCTTGCAAACAAGCTCTTCAGGGTGGCTGAGCTGTCAGATTTCTGCCAATCAGTGCGAAGCTAAAATGAGCACGAATATAAACAAAAAATGAAAAACATGTTCAAGCACACGCCGAGGGTAATGACATCATTGCTAATGTCACCTCGATTAGTTCATAAGCTATTTGCGGGTGGGAAAGTAATGTAATTAGTTATTTTCCAATTTTCAATAAAATTTGTTGTTGTTGTTGTTGTTGTTGTTGTCATCCTGCCAGTCAGCATTTTGCATTGATTTTTTTGATGCAGATAATCAAATTCCAGAGAAGTTGCAAGCTGTCTTTCCTTTTGCCACACTGCCGCCAGAGCGCCCCAGAGAACTTGCTCATAGGTTATTATTAACTGAACAACTATCTTGTTATTAGTACAATCACATTCTACTTTCACTTAGCATGAGTACTTGGACCACATTAATTCGTGCTGTATTACTTTATTATATCAAACTATTACTAGGAGTAATCGGAGCTCAGGAGAGTGTGTTCGATATGTTTGTTGAGGCGGAAGGGTGGTTGCGATGTAGATAAATACGATTATGGCATATTTTGAACGTAAGGGTTTGTGTACAGCAAAACCTCTATTTAAACTGTGTATCATTTTAAGAATGTTTTCGAAAGATATCGTATTGTTCAGTGTCAAGTGCTTTTAATCAGAGGAGACATTGGCCAGCGTCGGATGTGTAAATGGAACATTTTGTTTTACTGGTGCGAGTTACAGGGCGCTACTGTGGGCTGATTTATAAGTTTTTCTTAATAAATAACATAGAGTTAAAGTGTTCATTTGTCCAGTGCCGAAAATATCACAAACCATGGTCAAATGGCACCGCTGAGCTTCACATCTCAGTAGATTTACTTTGTGGCACAACGACTGCTGAGCTACATAACTCGTAAATTTACTTTGCGACAAACCGGCGGCCGAATTAAACCCAGTTTGATGCACGCACCAGTAGTTGCAGACATTTTCCAAAGACAGTGATGGACCATGCTGAAAAATATGAAGGCCGGCTTAATCCAAAGTTAAATTTAACAGCAAACTCCTAAAAGATGAACGCTTTGGACGATTCAGCAATCACAGATCGATGTACGCTTTACGAAGATTCAGCAAACTTTTTAAAAGATGAACGCTTTATGAAGAATATCAGACCTTACAAACCTTTGAAAGATGAACGCCGAGGACACAAGAATCACCACATGAGTTAGCGCGTCAAAGTGAGGCAAAACTTAAGCAAGCACCTCAAAGCGAGGCAAATGTGTGTCGACGACGACGACGAACAAAAATGAAATCTCAAAAAAACCTCCCTTATTAATTGCACAGGTCACCCAACACAAATTAGGGGTTGCGTTCCTCGTACCTCGAACACAACAAACATTTACATGATTACATGTAGTGTCGCTGATGTTAGTACTAGTACATAGGTTACTATGGTGATCAATACACTACAACATGCATACATTTCCTGACTCAAACTTCATTAAAAGGACCTTTCTTAATAAATTTCCACCCACGTGGAACCATGCATGTTTGTTGACAAACAAGTATACCATGCATGTTATTGTTGACAAAACAAGACAATTTTATCACAAAATTTGTGGTGACCCAGTGGAGGAAAATGCTTTTGTTCTTTTTATCGACATAACTGTCATGATGAAAGCTGCAAACCAGTAATTGTAATACCTTATATCAGCCTCTATTATGTACCAGTCAATTCCAAAACTGCCCATTCACCATTTGCATATCTCCCATAATGCACCTTGTTTGCCCACCAAAACTTTGCATAACCGTTGTTTTTAATTTCTCGTCGGTATTACAGTGCATGGTCCTGAGAGAAATCAAAAGACGGTGCTTTTTCAAAATTTTGGGGGACAAACAAGGGAAATTAATGTGGGAAACGGCGGTTTCACCCTTCTGTGCAAACCGCCAGGCATATTCAAGGACCAGAAAGAAAGAAAAGGCATGCTTACATTTATTGACATAGCAGTTCTATCTGACAGTAACACCTCAGCAAAATTCACAGAGAAGTTGTCTAATTCAAGTACCAAGATTTGGAAAGTGAAGTTAATAGGATGTGGGAAATGAGTAATAATAATGATGCAGTTGAACCTATACTAACAGCCAACTCTCCACAATGACCACCTCTCTACAACGCCTTCTTTTTTAGCAGATAGTCAACATTGACTCTTGTTTAAACCTGTTGACAATTTATGACCACCTCTCAGATCTTGTGTAATTTGGATGCCTTTCGGCTGACATATCTGCCCACTCTTGGTCAGCTATCAGCCAAAATGTCAGCTAACATTTCGACTAACACTCACTTCACTGATCACTATATAGACTGACATAATTTATTGACTGATAGCTGGCTGACATGTTGACTGATATTTAACTGACATGTTGACAGAGCATTGGCTGATAACTTGTTGACCAAACTCGGCCAAGGGCCCGTGCCCAAATTACAAAATATCTCACCTCTCTACCCCTGTAATTCCCAATATCAACATAAAAATTCTCCAGACTGATCTCTATACATTTCCTTGAAGAATTAGTTGAGAGAATTTGATAAAAGATCAAATCGTTATTCATTTGGTGATCATTTTATTAATTCTCACACCTTTTTATCTTCATAATGCATTGGTGTTGTTGCGAGAAAATTGATGTTGGTCACTTTTGGGACTTAAAGGGTTACAATGCTATGGCTACTTTCTTCTGTCCCCCAAGGTGGCCATTGCGGAGAGGTTCAACCGTATTTAAGCATACCTTGGAGGTCTAAAATTACCATGCACATTTTACATGAAACTTTGCTCAATCTGCAATTGCTTTTTTCTTTTTCAGGCTGTAGAGAAGAACAAAGATTTGTCTTGAACAGGGTTGGAGCAGATCTTCAGGTGTTCATGAGTGGCTTCAACAATAGAGGAACAGCTGACATAAAGGATATCATGGCCACAGGAAAGAGATCACAAGTTGCCAGGTTGGTTTGTGAACCTTCAGTAATACCTTTAGTGGTTACCTACTGAATTTTAGAAAACAATTTAGTTCTGGAAGTATTTGCCTTGCTCCTAGCTGCTTTTGACATTTTGCAAGGAGGAACCTCTGGGATTCAGCAACAAAAATACCATACTGATGATGTAAATCAATTTTTATGATAAATCCGGTAGTCCTTGGGTTCCAAATGCAAATTTGTTCAATTTTACATTTCTCCTGGTTGATTTTAGTTAAGTGTTGTGTTCATCTGCGAACGAGCTCCAGCAAAACTCAAATGCTTCTGCTATAGAGAAGAATGTACTCCAAAAAATTGCCTGTTTTGTTATAGATTCGTAGCTAAGACATATGTCTAAAGCTAAGCCAATGAACAATGGCGTGCAATAGCCTTGCAGGAACACACAGTGCATACAACAAGACATGAATAGTGGTATTTATTGAATCTAGCCATACAGAGCGAATGTGACAGATGTATCAGACAGACATGTTGCAACATTTTGACCTTGGTACCTGTCTTCCATTGTAGTTCGATAAAAGTATTGTACAGATGTACATTCATGGCTTGTTGCGTGGCATGAGTTCCTCCATTCATAACAAAAGCAAATCCCTGGAACTGTGGCACATCATTTTCCATTAATTGCGATTGATTGTTCCACTGCAAATCTTTACTAAAAGAATGTGAATACTCCGTCATCCAATCAGTGTGTTTATGACCAAATTCCAGACAGATTTTACGCCATCAGTATGGAGTTTCTGCCACTGAGTGGCAGATGTTCTTTTTCGCGAAACATCTCCCAGTGGCAAGGAGGAAGGTCTCTTTT